GACAGACGGACAGACGGACGCAGGGCCAGCCGCGTCCCCGTCCCTGTCCCAGGTGCTCCGTTCACCCCACGCCTGCATCAAACCCGTCATCGGCGACTTCCAGGTGAGGAAAACTGGGAATGGGGATTGGGAATGGGGGATTTGGGAACTGGGATTTGGGATTTGGGATTGGGAATGGAATGTTGGGAATGGATTTGGGAATGGGGGATTGGGATTTGGGATTGGGATTCGGGATTGGATTTGGGATTGGATTTGGGATTTGGGATTTGGGATTGGATTTGGGATTTGGGATTGGGATTTGGGATTGGATTTGGGATTGGATTTGGGATTTGGGATTTGGGATTTGGGATTTGGGATTGGATTTGGGATTTGGGATTTGGGATTTGGGATTTGGGATTGGGATTTGGGATTTGGGATTTGGGATTTGGGATTTGGGATTTGGGATTTGGGATTTGGGATTTGGGATTGGGATTGGGATTTGGGATTGGGATTTGGGATTTGGGATTGGGGTGTCACTGCACTCACCCCCTTTGCCGTTCCCACAGCTCGACATCGGCACCGTCTACTCTGCCCCAGGTGAGGAGAGCGTTGGGGTGACACTGGGTGACACTGGGTGGCACTGGGTGGCACTGGGTGACACATTCGGGGTGACACATTCAGGGTGACACATTCGGGGTGACGCTGGGTGACACATTTAGGGTGACACTGGGTGACACTGGGTGACACTGGGTGACACTGGGTGACACATTCAGGGTGACACTGGGTGACACTGGGTGACACATTCAGGGTGACACATTCAGGGTGACACTGGGTGACACTGGGTGACGTGACACTGGGTGACACATTCAGGGTGACACTGGGTGACACTGGGTGACACATTCAGGGTGACACATTCGAGGTGACACATTCAGGGTGACACATTTAGGGTGATGCATTTGGGGTGACACATTTGGGGTGACACATTCAGGGTGACACTGGGTGACACTGGGTGACACATTCAGGGTGACACATTCGGGGTGACGCATTCAGGGTGACACATTCCGGGTGACACAATTTAGGGGTTCCGGGCTGGGAATTTTGGGGTTCCAAACATGAAATTTGGGGTTCTGGATACGAAATTTTGGGGTTCCGGGCTGGGAAATTGGGGTTCTAGGAGCGGAATTTTGGGGTTCCAGGTACGGAATTTTGGGGTTCAAGATAAGAATTTTGGGGGTCCAGATATAGAATTTGGGGTTCCAAGCTGGGAATTTTGGGGTTCCAGATACGGAATTTTGGGGTTCCGGACACGGAATTTTTGGGTTCTAGACACGAAATTTGGGGTTCCGGGCTGGGAATTTTGGGGTTCCGGGCTGGGAATTTTGGGGTTCCAAACATGAAATTTGGGGTTCTGGATACGAAATTTTGGGGTTCTGGATATGGAATTTGGGGTTCTGGATATGGAATTTGGGGTTCCAGGCTGGGAATTTGGGGTTCTGGATATGGAATTTGGGGTCCCGGGCTGGGAATTTGGGGTTCTGGATATGGAATTTGGGGTTCTGGATATGGAATTTGGGGTTCCAGGCTGGGAATTTGGGGTTCCTGGCTGGGAATTTGGGGTCCCGGGCCGGGAATTTGGGGTTCTGGATATGGAATTTGGGGTTCTGGATATGGAATTTGGGGTTCCAGGCTGGGAATTTGGGGTTCCTGGCCGGGAATTTGGGGTCCCGGGCCGGGAATTTGGGGTTCTGGATATGGAATTTGGGGTTCTGGATATG